TAGCAGCAGGAGCATAGTTTAAAAGGGTTTCCATGTATGCTCGATATGCATAGGTATTATTAGGTGGTGACACAAGTTTTTGGTTTAAATAAACATCAAGTTGACTAAAAAGTGAATGCAGTCAATTATTTACAGGTGTTACTATTGTAGTAGATATCAAGTTAGTTGAATCTTGATTTAATACTTTTGCCTTTATGTGGAGTAATGTATGAGACAAATCTATGTAGTCATCACCTGTCCCAGGAACTTGAAACTCGATAGGTCCATCATCACCAAGAGATGAAATTGGTTTATAATGAATCCACAATCCATTTTCAATGCTAGTTTGTGTAGGCGGAAGTGCAAACAAATCCAATTCTCACTTAACGCACTCGCAAGAATGATTATGAAGGAGAGACATATTTAATTTGAAAATATATCTTTGATATTTTTTGGTTTGTGACCAAGTTTTTTCGCAGCTTGCACTTTAGCAGACAACATAGTTGGTACGTCTAATACGTAGCCGTAAGTACGAGCGGTTTACTATATCTGGATATATATCTATATATGGACTTGTGAACAATTCTGCATTTAATGGTCCTCACTAAAAATCCATTTAACGTTGAAAACTATGGTATTAATTCCTTCAGCTTATATATTGATAGTCAACAAATACCTTCAAAAGCTTTGCAACCATATTTTAATAATAGTATATTTACATCAGCATATCATACTCTATTCTCGGGAACTGGTATTCACTTTCTTAACGAAGGAAATGGAATCTCTTGTGAACAGTATGCCAAAGGTTACTGTCTATTAGCATTTGACTTAACTCCTGATTTATCAGCCAACTCATCAGCTCATTGGAATTTCATAAAGCATGGTAGTGTAAGATTAGAAGTACGATTTGAATCCTCACTAATACAAACAATTAACTGTATAGTTTATGGTGAGTTTGATAATATTATTGAGATAGATAAAAACAGAAATGTTACTGTAGACTATAGTAGTTAAGGTTATAATATGTGTTGTGTGTTCGATTTTATGTGTTATGTGTAATGCATTTTGTGTTTACGTAACTATGTGAAACGTTATAAAATTAAATAAAACAGAAACATCCAAAAATTAATTCAATGATTAAAATATAATTCACCAACTTCCCACATCCACTTGGTTCTACCACAATAGCAGTAAACGGATGTATAAAGTGAAACATTACACACGTCTAAAGTTCTAAGGGGTGAAATAAAAAATGAAAGTGTTGGTGTAAACAACTAATATATATTGTGTACTGTAACTAATGTTTTTGGGAAATCAAACAAAATTTATGATTAATTTAAAATTTTATTTTCAAGCAATAACCACTTGTAAAAAACCCACACTTCGTCACAAGAACAATGTAAAATTCTGTGATTATTTTTTGCAAATATATGATTATTACACACATAACGTTTGTTTAAATTTATGACATTTACCAAATCATTGTATTTTGGACATTTGTATTCATCAATATTAAAAATTCTATCATTCGTCGTCAACATTTTTAAAAATTGTTTTTCTGTTGAACCACCTTGTAGCGATCACCTCGTCTTTGCAGTAATTTCTAATATACCAATTTAATATGGGGATGATGTTCTCTTGTTTGTAGGCACATTTTAATTCTTCGGTCACATCAAAATATGGAATGCCGTGCACGTGTGTTTCACAATAACGAACAGTTTTTTTGTCTTTTGACGACAAATAATTGAAAGGATAACTTGGCCGAAACAAATAATGATCGATAAACGCATCATTTTTTTTTTTACGTCTAGAATAGCCATTTCTCTACATTGAAAATGTTTATGAGGATATGTAATGTAAAATCCGTCCATGTCGATGATGTATCTAATATTTTTTAGATTTTGTGTCATTTTGAACCAAAATGTTAAAAGTATTTACACGTGACTAAAAATATGTTTGTTCCAACAAACTTCACATAACAATGCTTCATTACTTCCCATCATCCCATTTCTTCCTTCTGTTCTTGTCTTCCTGTAATTTAAGAAAACAGAATCACATTCACTAATGATCAACTAATGACTGTCATTGTTAAAAAAGTATTTTTTAACTACTCTAGTATTCGTAGATGCGGTACACACACAATATTTAAATATAATTTGTTAACAATAAATCATACACACGTAAGAAAATAACAGAAAGAAAAGTAAGTTTGTCAATAGAATAAACACTTATATCCATGGCCTTTGATGCGTTGAAGTAACACAAATGTAGTATTGATAGATCCACTGCGGTCAAACGACCATACACTAACTCCATGACTGCACTTGCTTGGTCTTCTTTACCAGTAAGTAATAATTCTAATCTAAAGAATTTCTGCAGTGGAATTGATAGTAACTTTATGCGTCAACAAGCTTATCTCACATTCAGTTACTTATCTCAGCATTACTTAGTGTTGCGTCTTGTTCAGTGTATTGATGACTCAAATACATTTTGTATAACACAAAATAATGCAATTTAATATTTAGAAATCACTATAATTGATCATTCCTATGTTAGTCATCGAGTAGATTGTACCGTAATAATCTACTAATAGCAGTAATATCATGGATACACTAGATGTACAACAACATCTGAAAAAGATTCACCGCAGTCTAGAAAATAATGTTTATGCTGCCAATAGACTGCCCATGTACACCCACGTACCAACGTATATAATATGCAATTTGGATGCATATGATAAACCAGGGTCACATTGGGTAGCTTTATATATCGATACGAATGACGTCGGTCAATATTTTGATTCATATGGACGAGCACCTGTACGATATCATCTAGAGTTTTTAAAAAGGAATTGTAAAAGATGGAACTGGAATGTTGATAGGATTCAGAACGAGTGGACTTCAGTTTGTGGCGAATATTGCTTAATGTATTTGCTATATAAGTTTCAGGGATGTTCAATGCATAGTTTTACGAGTATATTTACAGGGAACACATTGTACAACGATATTTTAGTGGATGAGATGTTTCGCTCCTATTTTATAGATAATAAGTAATAAGATTTTGTATGTCGTAAATAAAAATTGTAACAAAATTAGGTAATGTATTTTATTGATGATTCAGATTAGCGTTGTAGATAGGAACAAAGGAGTATAATACAATAGCACTGACAATCCGACGCACACGCTGAGGAAGAATAGATAATGACGGTATTCAATGAACAATAGATAAATAGATAAGAACAATGGAGTGCTAATGACGGTGGAGGCCCTCACCGGATATCAATTAGATAAGAGTTAATTGATCTGCACATCTCCGGAACCGCGAAACTACGCAAAAACGGACCGCAGATTCGTGATCAGAGCATGCCAAAACCTTTTTTTAAGGATCGTGAGTCGACGAACGTTGTACCACTTCTGACTCAGTGAGCCAGAACTGGTACTACCTATCTACTTTACAGCGAGCTAACCATTTGAGCTAACACGGCTCTTCACAGTCTACCTGATAGTAAATGGAAACTGTGGCCCATAGACATCTACATCTATCCTCAATTAAGAATCTAATCTAATTCACAGCGAAGAGCCGTTCGAATCGTCGGCGACCGAGCTCTTTCCGATCGGCTTGACTCACTGGCACTGCGAAGAGATGTTGCATCTCTGCATATTTTATCGCATTTACCACGGGGAGTGTTTAAGGAATTGTTCACACTAATTCCAGCAGCACAATTTCACCATTGCACATCGCGATAAAACTCGCAATACCATCCATACCATCTGGATGACTTGCGGTCCACCGCTGTGCGATTTAAAAGAAGTTTTCTTCCTCGCACAACTTCTTTGTGCAATTGACAAATACGACTTAGTGACCTTCAAGTAAAGAGCCTACTCCTTTTTAAAAGACCGGCATCGCATCTGCAATTCCCTTGGTGTTGCAGTTGTTCACTGGCGGCGGTAATCACTCACCATCAGAGGAGCCGTATGATCGTTTGCCCCCACTCCTATAAAAAAATCAAAATATAGGTGCGCTGTCACCCCTAAGGACTAAGATGGAATGTCTCGTTTCCAGTAAAAAGGGTCTCCGGTTCTTAATAAACACCATACGAAACACAGCAGCATTAAGCTGCCATTTTCGCTATTATGATAGCGTGATACTCCCCCTTCGATCCGATCCATTTGAGCTGCCATCAAAATATAGCTGCAGCGCGTCTCTGCCACATTAAACACAATGTATATTTTAACACAAGAATTCAGACAAACAACTGAGATATAATTATTATAGGTACAACATCTAACAAAAACCCTCTGGTTTTCGTTAAGTGCTTTGTCAGAATCAGTATTCAAACGTATAGAAATAACTTTACTTCAGAAAACTCGACTATATTTCTTTTTAAATAATTTTTGATTTCCAAATTGTATGTGGTTTTATTACACCTCTTAGGCTCAATTTACATTGCTGCGAAACGGAATGGAAGCGAATGTTTGTAACAAAATTGTACATAGTAAAATGATTCTTATGTTAATCGTGTAACGCGCAAACTAGATATGAGCCAAAAAGAAGTCGCGCGTCTTTCGGGGAATTCTCGGGGATTCCCGTAGCTACTGTCGGCGAAGTCTGTAAAATTCGCGGGAAGAGACGCGAAGGGCGTGGAATCTAGACTAACTTTTGTATCATTTTGTACAGTCCCAAGGCGACTGTCGCCGTGTCGGCTTGTCTTGCCGCGCGTGGCCGCGAATTTGACGTTTTCCATTACATTACATTCCGTCGCAGTGTAAATTGAGCCTTATTGACACGCCAATGCGCGTGTCAATAAGGCGCAGTCTTTGACAATATTCTTACTCCTCAGCCGATGCAGAGGTAACAAAACCACAGACAATTTGCAAAAAAAAATATTTAATTTTAATTTTATTTGTGGCCCAGTTTCCTAAAGTAAAGTTACTTCTATAGGTTTGAATACTGACTCTGACAGCGTACTTAAAGAGAACGACTGGGTGTTTGTTAAGGGTTGAATATTTCTTCAAGCTTACCCTATTCATCAGCACAGCTCTTCGTATCTCCCGCACACCATCGTAGACCAGTCTCGAAGCGTCGATGAAGTCGTTCTCGTCCAGGCCAGCGCCGGCACCGCTTCCCAGGGCTGAGACTGCAGCGTCCACGCGGACCGCGAACTTGGACATCACTATGGACAAAAGTAATAATAATAATAAATAACGTTTATTAGCAACCAAATATGTCTAAATACAAAGGAGCTCTGTCTCCTGAACTAGGTTATCACCTGTATCTCAGGAAACAGTGCCTTCCCTAATTCTTAGTTCTAGGTCTATATTCGGCAATTACATGACGATTTATTATATCTTTAATCTAATATTAGTTTATAGCCGTTACTGTTACATACTGTTTAATGTGTTTTTATTGTTGTTGTGCGTATGTGCGGAAGTGTGGTGTGTGTGTGTGTGTGTGTGTGTGTGTGTGTGTGTGTGTGTGTGTGTGTGTGGGCGTTCGTGCGTGCGTGCGTGCGCGCGTGCGTGCGTGCGTTCGTGCGTGCGTGCGTACGCGCGCGTGTATGTGCGTGCATATTTTTTAAATATATTGGTGCATAGAGTTATAAGGCTAACAATATTCTCGGTGGGAATTTTATTATATATGTATGGTGCTATGAAATTGTAGTGTCGTTGCATAAAGGTGGTTTTGGTAATGGGTATAGGGCACCTAAATCTTCTTTTACGGGTTCGTGGTAGTGAGTAGGCAGATACACGGTGGTGTCTCAGGAGAGCTTCAATTATAAACAACTTACGAACTGAGAGTACCTGAGTCTCGTTGTAGACTTTACTAGTAGGATGTCGGTACGGTAGGTGCATTAGTACTTTTAAAATTGCTCTTTGCGCACGTTCAAGTTGAATCATTGTTGTTTTTGGTGCGCTACCCCACGTCGTCACACAATAATTAATGATACTTTGGCAGAGCGCTTTATAAGTCTGAATAAGAATTTTTTTACTAGCGACTGTTCTTAATTGTCTAAATATATATATATAAGTCTTCTAACCCGAGAACAGATGCTAATGATTTGTTCAGTGGCGAAGCTAGAGCTCCAAGCTAGGGCAAGCCCAAGATATAAATTGATAAAAATATAGATTGTTGTTTTTAGCAGTTTTATAAAATACACCAATCTTGATCTGTCTCCACGCTTCAGTTTCATATTCAGTGCTGTCAAGGACATTATTAACAAAGCACACAGAAGGCATACCACTGCTAGATAGATTGTATTACATATCAGCAATTGAATAGCTTCGGTGGCTTTGAAGAAAGACGTTTGGGTTTGTTTAAGCGAAAGAAAAAAATATTTACATCCAATACAATACATGAACAAAAGTAAAACATGAACAAAGTACAAACAAACTATGTACAAAATTAAAAAAAAATTATTTACATTCTAATGGATAAGAGGAGATAAGTGATAAGATAAGTGGAATCGTCTCGCTTTCTTATGGAAAGATTTAATCACGTCCACGTAAAATGTTGGTGAACGTTTTAATTGTACCAATAACAGTTTTTTTAATTGAGATAATTGATAAGTCTGAAATACACTCTTAACCTTGTGTATTATCTCAACAAAGTTTAAAGATTTCCTCTCTGATTAGCACTTTAACACACTTCAATTCATTACAAGAAACACTATTATCCTCCATTTTCATTAAAAATCTTTAAAAAACTTTTTTGAACTCGTAATATTAAATCGCTTAAGATAAGCACACAGAGTAAATAAACATTAAAACGTGAAATGAACTTGCAAACGTATTGCCCACGCGCCTCCGCTTTTAACAAATTTATTCCCAAAAGCCTGGCTTTACATCTCCATACTAATTGCTATATATACAATCGTAGTTACATTTCACTATAGAATATTTTGCTATAGGTTAGAAAGAGAGCTATCGTCTTCTCGAAAGCCCCGTAAAAAGCCCACGCGAGCGAGGGAGACAAATAATCGCTCTATTAAAACTCATTTTTTATGACGGCAGCAGTATCGCTAAGGCAATACGAGGTCATCGGTCGACATGTGTCGAACAGTGGAGTGCGCGGGAAATTTGAAATAGCCTGAAACATTTTACGAGTTATTTTATTAGTTGATATTATTGATTGATATTATTAATTGATTCAGTTTTAATAAGGCAAGCCCGGCTTTTCGGCTTTTATGGAAGCTTCGCCACTGGATTTGTTCTTTCCAGCTCTAAGTATGATCTACTTGAATACCTAGGTATCTAATACATCTGACTCTAGTTAATGTGCTGCAATTGCATTGGCTAGTAAGCTTTCCATTACATGGTAAAGAATGTAGTGTGATTGTAAAGTCTTGAGCTGGACCTGAAGTTACAGACCTCGAGAAGCAGAGGTATTTGGCCTTTGAAATATTTAGTGTGAGTAAGTTATTCTCTAACCAGGCTGAGACATTCTTAAAACAGGTTTCTGCAAAAGTTTGTACTTGTTTCCAACTCTGCCCATGAAATAGTAAGACTGTGTCATCAGCAAATATTAGCACTTCCGTATTAGATGTTAATGCGTTTGGAAGACTATTAATGTACGCCAAGAAGAGAGTCGGGCCTAATGTACTGCCCTGTGGAATACCGAATCCACAGGTTGAGGCGTCACTTAGGTCTTTATTTACTCTAACGTATGCCTGCCAAGTAACTACGGAACCATTAGTGTACATGACCGCGGATGCCTAAGCCCTCTAGTTTAGACAATAGTATCGGAATTGATATTGTGTCAAAAGCTTTCTTTAGGTCAAGAATAACACCAATGACCTTCTCTCCTTATCAACATAATTGTGAATTAAAGATGTCAACTTCAATAAGGCGTCATCCGTTGACCTTCCTTTGCGAAACCCATACTGATAATCAGTTAACAGTTTGTTTTTCTCTAAATAAATAATCAACCTACGGTTGATCAACCCATCCACAATTTTTGATATGGTAGACAGCATAGAAATCGATCTATAGTTCGAGACAACTTGTTTGTCCCCCATTTTAAAAATTGTAGACACGATAGCCGTTTTAAATAAATCGGGAAATATTCCTTGTTCTAAGCTAAGATTACAAAGATGTGCAATTGGATATACAAGGTACTTTTCTGCTAATTTGATTTAAAAGTAATTGTAAGTATATTGTTCTCCTTCGATATGAAGCTCACGTTGCAGAGAGAATGTGCTTTAAGCGTCATGCTTTGCAGGCGCTTATACGTGGTAGAGCCATGCTGCAGTTATATTAGTAGTATAGTTGTAGCACGAACAGGTCGGCTCGACCGGTAAAAGGACCACGCTCTCACAGAATACCAGCGTAAAAAAGAAGTTTAATGCTGCTGTGTTTCGTATGGTGAGTGTAGATAACCGTAAACTCTTTTTACTGGAATCGAGACATTCCATCTTAATCCTCACGGGTGACAACGCATCTGTATTTTGATAAATCTGCGCGATTCGTAATCGAGGATAGATGTAGATGTCTATGGGCGACAGCAACCACTTACCATAAGGTGGACTGTGTGCTCGTTTGTCACCCTATCCTATAAAAAAGATGGCAATACAAGACCTCAGTACCCCTGACACTGCTTGTCGTCCTGGTTATTTTACATCTCGCGTAAACAATACGGTTATACTGCCACCTATCGGTTGCCATGAAATCTCTCCAGCTGTCAGTCACCTCTTACAACACCCTCGGGACGAAATGGGGTGAAAATTAGGTCGATATCATACGGATACGGATTGGAAAGATGCTTTGTAATAAAGAATAAAGAAGAAGAAGCAGTTTTGAATGTTATAAGCCTTTTGATTATATGAATAAATGCTAAAAATACGGCGAGTTATGGATAGGGTATTTTTTAATATAATAATGGTGACAAACGAGCACATACAACATATGGTTACATTAATGAAGAGATCATTTAAAGAAAGGGGGTATGAAAGTGAACGCAAGTAAGGCGAGGGTTATTATTGCTATTGTTTTTGAAAGAGAAGAAAGTAAAACGATTTGTGAAATAAGAATCGAAGGGGAATTGATCGAGCAAGTAGATGAGTTTGTATATTTGGGCTGCGTATTTAGCAGGGATGGGAGATATGATAAGGATATATATACAAGGAACGACGAGTGAATGCGGAAAATAGAGTAAATGGGGCCCTGCACTCTATTGTGAAGAGTCAAAATGTGTCGAAAAAGGCACGTATGGCAATTCACAATGCTGTGTTGGTCCCTACTTTAACGTATGGTAGTGAAAGTTGGGTGTGGCAGAAGCACGAGAGTAAAATGAACGCAGTAGAAATGCGGTCGTTAAGAAGTATGTTAGGGCTGAATCTGAATGACAGGGTGAGAAATTGTGTGATAAAAGAAGAGTGTGGTTTGCAAGATGATGTTGTGACCAGGATTAAGAAAGGAATGCTTCGGTGGTTTGGCCATGTGGAAAGAATGAATGAGGAAAGAGTGACAAAGAAAATTTATGTTGCAGAAGTGAATGGCAGAGTCGGAAAGGGACGTCCTAGGCGAAAATTTATCGACCAAATTGGCGATTTATTGAAAACGGGCGAAATTAGGAGTACCCTTAACCGACGACCATGTATGCGTAGGTATATGGATGTGAAGGAGGCGAGAGAGGTGTGTCAGGATCGTGCCAAATGGAAGTCTGTATTCTCTGCCTACCCCTCTGGGTGACAGGCGTGAGTGTTTATGTATATGTATGTATGACAAACGAGCACACAGTTCACCTGATGGTAAGTGGATGCTGTGGCCCATAGACATCTATTATCTACATTTAACTTCGATTAAGAATCAAAACCCAGATGCGTTGTCATTCCTGAGGACTAAAATGAAATGCCTCGTTTCCAGTAAATAAGGGTCTCCGGATCTCTACATTCACCATACGAAATACAGCAGTATTAATATTTTACGCTGGTATTCTGTGAGAGCGTGGTCCTACCCCGGTCGAGCATATCCATTCGTACTACAACCATAATATAGCCGCAGCGTGGGTCTACCACTTAAAAAAAGCTGCTATTTTACGCTGGTTTTCTGGTGTAGCGTTGTCTTTCTTCGGTAGACTGTCTGTTTGTCTGTCAGCTAGCTGTATAAAAAAATATAAAACCGCGTGTAAAGCTTACGTAAAAAAATATAGGAGTGGCAATTTACATCTAATTGCA